AAAATGAGTCTCCTCTGATAATTCCTCGTCATTTTGACACCCGCGCCAAGCGTTTCCCGCTGGCCATCGTGTTCAAGCTTCTCATGAAGTTTAAGCTCTGTCCGTTGAACTTACTGATCAAAATTATGATGAAATTTGTTGAGAGAATTTTCTCGAAAAACTGAACAATCTTAAATTGATGCTACTTGTGTTTTGTATTAAAAAATCAATAACTAGTTGTAAAACGTTTGCTTTGGTTAGTTTCGTTCGTATTGTTTGTTCATAGTTGTAACTGTTAAATTATTCAGTAAAGTAGTTGTGCTTATTTAGTAAAGTAGTTGCTTTACATAAGTGAACAGTAACAAGCTCGGATGAATCTTCAAGACTTTTTTCAATGTCTTTGAGGATAAACTTTATACTTTAATTATAGTGAGACTATAGTTGATTGTATAAAGTTGAAACATTCAAAGTATTAGTTCTTGATATGAAAAGAAACTACGAGGGTTGCTGAGCCTTGGGCAAACGCTGTGCATCTCACTAGTAGAGGATGGCAGGCCGAAGTGGCCGTTTTAAATGGCATGCATGTCGACTATTGTACCTTAAGCAGCGTTCAGACTTCGCGATGACGTGCGTCGTCACCCTACCACTGCGATAACGCTGTAATGGTACGGACGGGAACAGCCGTAGAAGACTATATCGGCAAAAATCGCTTGTGTTTTGAGAGAATATAGAGGAATTGGAGGGTACCAGACTGTGTGAAGGCAGCGTCCTACCCTCTTATTATTCTACACTCTCAAACCCTTGCGGCCGGTGTCGATCGATACCAGTCTCTGGCTGCGTTCCTGCGTTCCCGTCTATATCACTGGAGCGCAGTGGCAGCGCGACGACGCGCGTCATCGCAAATTCTAAACGCTGCCTTAGAACGGTATCACAGTACCGTCCTTAGTATCCGCTGGAACGAAATCACAGACGTTTTCAGGGAGAGCATGATACACTTATTGTTAAAGCGAATTTCAAACATCAGGCTGATTCGGATGTGAGACAAATTGCACCAAGTGTTGGTGAGACAAACATTCACGCCAATCACACCATCTATTTTTCTATAGAAAAGAAGACTTAAAGAACGATAAGGAGAAAAAATGAGCTATGCAGAAAGACAGTACTGTGAAGATAACAAGCAATACAAGGAATGCTCCATGCAGAAACTCTGAAGGGGCTGGATACATTTGAAAGTGAGCGTTATAATACCCGTCACGTTGTGAGGTGTACGGAAAAAACTGACACGGCGGTAAACTAATTTAATGATTCAAGTCCTTTCCCTTATCGCTTCCTTGCCGATTTCACGTTCAACAAGCTTAAGTAGTTGGCGATCGAAAAGACGGATTTTATCGTGTAGTATCCGACCAGCGACAGATTTCTCTTCGGCAGACCGTACATTTCTCACAGGGATGTTTCTGAAAGTAAATGGCAATATTGATGCGAATCAAAAAGAATGTGGAATCGCAAAACTGGTCCTAAAGGATGCAAAAGGTTAAGAGTGCTTTATAGGAGGATTGAACTTTCAGCACTGATTGGTCGGCTTCGGGATGCGTCACGCACTCTATTTCCATTCAGAATGGTAATGCCTTCTGAATGCAATACTGAACATTCAAAACGCAATATGGGATGGGAATAGATGGGTTGAAGGGCTAGTCGACCCACAAATCAAAGTTTTTACCTTCAGACAAGTCTTGTACCACAAGTGCTACTCCGGAGTGGCGGACCTGGCTGGGCAGACAGAAGTTTGAATCTCGCGTCCTAACCAGCGGTATTAGCCATTACACCACCTCCACT